TGCAGGATTTTCTTCCTGAATAAAAATCTTTGTAGTGAACATTTTTATAAACCTGGCATTCTTCTTATAAACTGAGTGTTCAGCTCAAGGCAGAATTAGTTTTAAACTAGCCATTCACTTGTTCTGTGTCTCATAATCACTTATAATTATGATTACAAGTTTTTATAAGTACACTGGGGAGGATTGAACTACTTACCAAGTATCACTTTGGGCAGCAAAGAATTGAATAGAATAGAGACTGTTAATCATGGCAACATTTACAAGCAATACAATAGCTAAGTACAAATGTCAAAATACCAAAATGTCACCCACTTAAGTGGCCATTATGTGCTTATAATAATTTAAAGCAGCTAAGTGAATAGCATATTTAAAAATTAGAAGTCTTAGGTATCCCCACCCAAAATATAAATAAATAAAAGGAGGACCTAGATGTCTATTCAGGGCATTAACATTTGAGTAACAAATAGGGAGAAAAAAATCTATAATGCCAAAAATAGAAAAAAGATTCTGTCCTGAGACTGAACAGTCTACATCCAGAATTTCTTATATGTTATTTCAACAAGTAAATATTTTTCACAATTTGCAAATGAAGACATTCACCCTGGAAAAATGTATTAACAATGAGGATAGATCAGTCTTTTCATTTAAGGGCTATTTTGAGAATCTGGTTCAATATATAGAACTTTTCTCAGAAAAAAGGGCATATTTTGTGTAGTATTTTAAGGGAATCCTAGAACCCAACTTGTGTAGATACAGCCCTCATTTAGCTCAGTTAATAACACATCAGATCATATTGACACTATAAATTAAAGTTAAAAAAATCTTAGTCAATTAACACACACACACACACACACACACACACACACCCCAATCGTGAGCCAACTGGGTACAAGTCCCTGCAGTAGGCGATACGTAGTGTGAAACTGATTTTATTCCACACTGCCTCACCTCCTAATTCTTTCTTTTTTAAATTTATTTTTATTTTATTGTTTAAAGCATTACAGATAGTAGTACATATGTCTCCTTTTTTTTTTTCCCCATTGACCTTCCCCCGGCCTCCCCTAACCCCTGGCACATGCCCTTTCTTGAAAAGGAAGGCAGCATCCTACTTTTGTTGGATTGCAAAGCCCCTAGAGCCAGGGCATTCACATCCCAGATTCTCTCTATCCTCACGCCCGGCAGGCAGCTGTACGCTGGGGGCGGAAGTCCTGTCGGGTCTGGTAGAAAGTGACTGCAGCAGAGCACAGAGCATAGGCCCGCCCTCACTTCCATTCACAAGTTAGTGATTGTCTCACTATGGGAAGGAAAGCTGAGCCTTAGTAAGAATGAGAACAGCCTTGATGAAGTCATTTCTGAAAAGTGGTTGGCGCTCTGGTGCTCTCCACATTGATTTACCCCTGGCTTATTTTTAGCAGCAAAATTCCCCAAAGTAAGTTAACCGCCTCCTACAGAACCGGTTTACATTAGTTTTCGGATGCTCCGTCCATGCCGGCAACAGGAGCCTCCAGACCGTGGATACTGAGGACCGTGAACCCTCAAAGCCACTTGGGACCAAACTGAACAAAGCCCCGGAGTATTTATCCCACGTTCACGGACATGGTACTTGCTTGGGTCCATCAGACGCAAGTTACTGCTTTCTAAGGGCCTGGGGCCCACAGCAGTGCTGCTTGCGGGTCATGTTCTGAGCTGCCTGTCCATGAGCTTCCATGAGCTTGGCCTCGGTGACTTGCTAATATCCGTAGATCTGATCTTCCCACTTCCTGCTGTCTACATGTAACTGTAGGC